CCGTGCGCCGTCAGGAAGTGACAGGTTCCCATGCCTCTGCCACGAACCCTGACTCCCCGCCCCCTGCCCCGGGTGCCAGGATCCCACTGGAAACACGCTCCTTGATGAACTTCTTCTCTTGGAATTGACCAGCTTGTCCCTTCGTTAACAAGAGCTCTTCTGTACGAGGTAATTATGAAGCGATGGGGCGATATTGGGAATGTCTTAGACTTCGTGGTTCTAAAAAGGGTGACAGGGAACCCAGTCTTTTCTTGGGGTGCCCAGAGTACTTGCCGGATGGGGAGAGATGTGGAGAAGGTTCCAGTCGGTCAGCTCAGGAAAAATGCTCATTCTGCTCTCACGTTATTGCTGGTCTGAACTTCCCGGAGGCGGGTCCGTGGTCCTGTACTGGTAGGGGGATCAAGATAGCTCCTCTCACCCTGGGGTAGCAATCCCCGCAAAGCCCTGGCCACAAACTGAGTGATTGAGCCCATTGGAAATAGGGTTTTCCTGGGAAAAGAAGCTGGCTAAGCTTCAGGCTTGCATGCTTGCTTGGCCGCTCTTTGGAGAGGTGGCATTTCAACATGGTACCCTACAGGCCAATGTTCCACCTAAAACTAACCCCAAGAGCAAGGGCTAGTTCTCTCAGAAAACTGCCAGGTGTGCCTCTTCCCCTCCTTTCCGATCTGAGTCTCAGCTGTGGGTCCTACAACAGGAGAGCCCAGTGGTGAGGAGTGGGGGTTCTGGAATCTGGCAGCTCTGGGCTCACACCAACCCATTTCCACCATCCACTCAAGGCGGTCACCTCCTGCCTCCCTGACCTACTTCTCAGTTTCCATACATCTGAGATGGCAGCATGCCAGCCAGCCTCATGCACTGGGGTGGGAGAAGTGAGCTTCCTTGCGGAAAACACTTTGCTCTGGGCCTGAGCCCCATAAGACCAGCTGCTTGTCGCCTGAGGGGGACCGTCTGAAGCTGTGGCTATTCAGCCATTTTTGACCTACATAAGGGTGGCCTCTCATAGTTCAACCTGACAGTGTCACCCCGGAGACCACCTGGATGCTGGCGCCCAAGGTGGGCTTGCACTGAGGCCCCTGCCCACCCCTCCCCCAAGGGGTCACCCCGCACTGGAGACAGGTGCCTGCACGGTCACCCCCTACAGCTCCCTGCTTGCTTGGTGGGGAGATGGAAACCAGGGATGTGGGTTCCTGCCTGAAGACACATAAAGAGGGGACCTGGGACTAGAATCTGATTTTTGGACTCCTAATTCAGTTTTCTTCCTCCTGTGTTGGTCTCAAGCCACTGCCACGGTGGGAGGCGGGCCTGGGTGCAGATGGAGCAGCCACCTGCACGAGGTGCTCAAGGGCTACCAGAAATGTAACAAGGGCGGGAAGATGGCATTTCCCAGAACTCGTCCCAGAGCCAGTACCGCAGGGAGATAGAAGGTGCCTTGAGTCCCAGCTCTGATACATAAGGGTTCGTGAACTCAGTTGCCTCATCGGTACCATGGGCTAAAAACAGTGCCTGTTTCGTGGGGGTGTCGTGGATATTAAATGAATGTGTATTTGTAATTTGTATTATAAACATCAAAATGTATGAATGCAATTTACAAAAAACCTTTAGAGATACAGTAGAAGAGGGCTGGCCCTTCATAAAGGCCATGTAAGTGTTGGTTGTGATGATCACGAAGACAGTCAGGGACGGTGTTGTCACCTGGCAGCCCAGTCTGGGCTGGTGCTAAGTTGCTGAGATTAGAGAGGAGCCCTCGAGCTCACATAGGGGTTCCTCTTCCTCCGCACCTGCCCTCCTGTGCCCGTGTTCGCTCTGCATACACGTGTGACAAATACTTAGACAAGCAGCGTGTGTGGGACTGGGTTAGCACGTGTCCATGGCCTCCCCCTGCATGCCGGCCTCTCTTCCCCAGGGCCCCGGCTCTCAGCCCCACGGGTTTTCAGAGGGCAGGGCATTTGCGAGGTCAGATAAGACCGTCCCTGTCAAGCGCTCAGACAGGTCCTGGTCCTAGTGAGCACTGTTTGGTATGCGACCATAAACTTAACTAGAATACAAACTCCCCAAGTCCAGGGATATTTCATTTATTTACAAAGCATCCTGACTATCTAGAACAAGGCAGGGCACAAGGGAGGAACGTAATAAACATTTGCTGTATGAATGACCACGTTTGCCCGCACCCCAGAGGAGAGCAGCATCTCGGGAAAGGATCTGGAGACCAGCCACAGACGCTCGAGAAATCAATTCAGAAAGAATCCTTTAAACTGGGCATTCCCAGCTCCTCCCTAATTTGCCCTCCACATTCAATTAATTTTGCTGTTTCCCCATTTCTTTTTTTTTTTTTTAAGATCTTATTTATTTATTTGACAAACAGAGATCGCAAGTAGGAAGAGAGGCAGGCAGACAGAGAGGAGGAAGCAGGCTCCCCGGGGAGCAGAGAGCCCGATGCAGGGCTTGATCCCAGGTGCGGGGCTCAATCCCAGGACGCTGGGATCATGATCTGAGCCGAAGGCAGAGGCTTTAACCCACTGAGCCACCCAGGCTCCCCTGTTTCCCCATTGCTTTCTTTCCTTCTTTTTTTTTTTTTTTAAGGATTTTATTTATTTATTTGACACACAGAGAGAGAGACCACAAGTAGGCAAAGAGGCAGGCAGAGAGAGAGGAGGGAGGCAGGCTCTCCGCTGAGAAGAGAGCCCAACCACGACCACGTGGGCCTCGATCCCAGGACCCTCCCAGGACCCTCCCAGGACCCTCCCAAGACACTCCCAAGACCCTGGGATCATGACAGAGGCAGAGGCTTTAACTCACAGAGCCACCCAGGCGCCCCCTTGTTTCCCCATTTCTAAGAGCCTGGGTCCTCTTTCAATTATTCTGTCTTTGCTGCCCACCCCCCGCCCCCCACTACTTCCCTGGAGCCAGAAGAGGGACTTCCTAAAAAAATAAATCAGGTTACATCACTCCCTTGCCTAAACAAATGTGAGACCTTCCCATTGCCTCCAGGCTAACATCCGCCTCCGACTGCCAGCGTTAGTCATCTGGAAATGCAAGTCAAAACCCCACTGAGATAGCACTTGACACCTGGTAGGACGGTTGTTACCAAAAAGACACAGCAGGCAGTGCTGTCACTGAGAGATTGGAACCTTTCTACTACGGGGCTGGCAAGAATGTAACATGTTGCCACTGATGGAGAAAACAAGTCTAGCAGCAGCTTAAAAAGTTAAACTTGGAAGTACCATGTGACCCAGGAACTCCGCTCCTTAGATAAATACCCATGAGCTTAAATAAACCCTTAAACCGTTTTCTAGGGAACACTGTTAAACGGCCTCTTCCCCCATTTCATTTTTATTTTTAATCATACTTAATTCTTTCCCATCTTCATTTCATAACAAAATTTCAACCTCGCTGCCCTTATGTCCGCTAACCTCTGCGTTCTTGGAGTCCAGCTAGCGGGTCCAGATCTTGCCACGAAGACTTAGTTCCTCCACTTACATTGAGGCAATCACATATTTTTACCCTGTGCAGCCCTTCTTAGCTGTATTTTGTCAGATTGGCCTAACAATAATACTCATTATGGATTGCATAGAATACTGATAGATTGCACAATGTCTCCAAAATGTTAAATTAAGTTTTAGGTAGGTAATACATATCCATGGTAGGAAGAGATGCAAAAAGGAGGAAGGGGATACAGAGGAGCGGTGTGGTTCTTACTGCTCACTCCACTTCCCACTTCCCCTCCCTGAAAGCGTGTTGCAGGCGGGGGTCCCCAGGAACCGGGGTCGGGAACCAGGACAGGAGATTGATGGTGGTGTGCCCTGGGGTCAGCTCCATGGAAGGGAGCAGAGGGTGGTAGGAGTGTGCAGAGGGGGTCTCTGGGAAACCACAGCTGAGCCCACAGGAGCTCTGGAGCTGGGCCAGACAAGAGAACCAGAGTCTTGGTGCTTTTCAGATGGCAGTCCTGTCCCTCCTCGTGTGCAGCTAGCACTCCCTGCAGTGGGAACCAGGTGGCCCAGCACGGAGACCACTGTCATCCACAGTTCCCAAGTCTTCTCCAGTTCTCTCTGCCCTTGTTGGTCAAATATTTCTTTTTTCTTTTTCTTTTTCTTTTTTTTTTTTTAAGATTTTATTTATTTATTTGAGAGAGATGCAGTGAGAGAGAGCATGAGAGGCGAGAAGGTCAGAGGGAGAAGCAGACTCCCCGTGGAGCTGGGAGCTCCATGCAGGACTTGATCCCGGGACTCTGGGATCCTGACCTGAGCTGAAGGCAGTTGCTTAGCCAGCTGAGCCACCCAGGTGCCCTTTTTATTTTCTTACACGTCGGGAAGACCCTCCCAGCCCGCGTGAGCTGCGAGGAGTTCCTCTCTTCCATCCCCAATGTCCCCTCACTGCCCCAGGGATGGAGCCCACAGGGTGGGTGCAGCTGGGCCTTAGCTCCAAGCAGCCTGGGGAGGAGGGCCTTGAGAATCAAGGCTTTTTTTTCCCCACCTTTTTTTCTTTTTTCTAAGGCAACTTTCTAGGGCTCTGCGATTATAAAAAAACAAGACAAAACAAAACAAAACAAAAACCAAACCCTCTTATGTGTCATTTTCTGGCAGCTGGACAACAGCAGAGCACTGCTCAGCAAGCACTCCTTTCCTACCCAAGTTTAAGCATTTGATTGATGACTTGGGTTGAGAAAAAGCAGTTGAAGGTTATCGCAAATCTGTCGTAAGAAGGTTTGTTAATTTATAATAGGAATACAGCACAAAATACTCCTTTCCAAATACCTTCTCTCTGATATCTCATGGACAGATTTCTGCCAGAATCCCTGGGAGGTGTGCACACAATTGGTAGACAGGCTCTTGGAATGTAATCACAGGGGGTGAACCCCATGCGGCAAGAAGACAGGCCACCCCAATGCTGGGTGGCTTGCCCATGGGGTGAGCAGCACCTGCCTGGGAGGATGGCTGTGGCCCCATGCCAGGATGTGACTGCAAGATACTCATGTTCTTATCCTGTGCCCACCCCCAAGTCCCATGGCATCCTTCCCTGTCCTGCAGAAAGAGAGAATGTTCCAGTCCGGAACCCATGCCTACAGAATTCCGGCTCTGCTCTACCTGCCTCAGCACAAGACACTACTGGCCTTTGTGGAAAAGCGGATGAGCAAGAAGGATGAGCACGCAGAGCTGATTGTCCTGCGAAGAGGAAGCTATGATGCATCCACCCACCATGTCCAGGTAAGGTAGGGTGGGGCTACAAGTGCTCCTGGGAGTAGTACAGGGACCATTCCATCCTTAAATGGCTGAGGCCTGGAGAACAGAGGGATGAGATACACTGAATCCCAAGAGGGACCCAGAGACCTATCAGGGATCACGCAGAGAAAGTGTCCCCAGGTGATCACCTAGATTTCACATGGGATCACTGTGAACAAGTCCAGTTGTCATGGCGACATCTGCTTTATTGCATGAAGGGACAAGTCAACCAGGAAACTAATGTTTGGAAAACTTCCTGTATCCCTGAAAACCTAAAGGAGGGGAGTTTAGTATTACCTAACTGGGGAAGGGGGGATTGTATCCTTTTAGTAAAATTAACCTGGGGAGCAGGGTGAAGGTCAGAGTGATTGTGTCTTGAGTTTCCAGCATGCAGACCAAGTAGTTAATTTTGATGAAGACATCCAAGTCTGGCTTATCACATTTGAAGGGATTAATGTTATTATTATCATTACCTTGTGGTCATTATTATACAGTAGCTATCCAGAGCATGGGGTTTGAAGCAGATGGACTTGGGGTTAAGTCCTGGTTCCAGCACTTACCAGGGTAGAGTGTTGGGCAACTTATCGACCCCATCTAAGCCTCTCATTCTCCAGGCATGAGATGGAATTAGTAACACCTGTCCCCCAGGAGTTAGGGATTAGCATGAGATGAGACAACAGACATCATGCACTCAGCACAGTTACCTACCCCTAGGATCATCCATTGGTAGAGAGCTGTTAATGGATGGGGATAGACTACAGAGCCTCAGTGTATATGACTCAGACTCAGGGACTGTGGAAGCTCAGTGTGAGTCCTTGGTGCTATGGTGCTGCCCTTCCCTGGCTGTATTAATAGACTCTGATGTGTAGAAACAGGAGGTGATTGTCTTCTTCTGCCCTGCACTGGTGAAACAGTTGTAATTACTCCAGGGCTTTATTTGTCAAGAATGCAAAGCTGGACTGGGCTGGTAGGTTGAGGCATGAAGCTGGGAATGGCTCATGTCTGAATCATCTTTGCACACTGGGGTCTAGCCCACGGCAGATGCCCTGTAATTTGTGTTGCTCTTCAAATGAAGAGGGCACTGCCATAGAGGGAGTGAGGGGGAACCTGGCTCCTGCTGCTCAGTGGAGGCATTGTGCAGATGAATGAGTGCTGTCTGGAGAGCTCTTTTCGGTGACCTTTGATTTTTACCCTCTGAGATACACCACTTTCCCCCTACACTGCAGTTCCTGGCCATGGCACTGACATCAACCATTTCAAAGTTGTTCTCCTCCTTTCTGTCCCCTCACATTCAGTGGCACGCTCAGGAAGTGGTGGCTGAAGCCCAGCTGGAGGGCCACCGGTCCATGAACCCGAGTCCCTTGTATGATGAGAAGACAGGAACCCTCTTCCTCTTCTTCATTGCCATCCCCAGGCAGGTGTCCGAGTACCATCAGCTCCACACCAGGGTCAACATGACACGGCTGTGCCAGGTCACCAGCATGGACCATGGGCAATCCTGGAGCCCTGCCAGAGACCTCACTGACCCCGCCATCGGTGCAGCCCACAAGGAATGGGCCACTTTTGCGGTGGGTCCAGGGCACTGTCTGCAGTTGCAGAACAACACCCGGAGTCTGGTGGTGCCTGCCTATGCTTACCGAATCCTTCACTCCCTCCAGAGGCCTTCCCCTTTTGCCTTCTGCTTCATCAGCCATGACCATGGGCACTCATGGATGAGAGGGAACTTTGTGGCCCAGGACACCCTAGAGTGCCAAGTGGCTGAAGTTGGGGGCGCAAAGCAGAGGGTGGTGTATCTGAATGCCAGAAGCCCGCTCGGAGCCAGGGTCCAGGCCAAGAGTACCAATGAGGGGCTCGACTTCAAGGAGGCCCAACCTGTGAAGAAGCTTGTGGAGCCTCCCCATGGCTGCCATGGGAGCATTGTCAGTTTTCCCAACCCCCATGCAGGCTCAGGAGCCTCAGACAAATGGCTGCTCTACACTCACCCGACCAACCCGCAGCAGAGAGCTGACCTGGGTGTGTACCTCCACAAGGGACTCCCAGGTCCTGACACCTGGTCGGAGCCCGCTCTTCTGACAAAGGGCAGCTGCGCTTACTCAGACCTCCAGAGCATGGGTAGTGGCCCCGATGGGTCACCCCAGTTTGGGTGTCTGTATGAATCAGCTGATTACGAAGAGGTCATCTTCCTCATGTTCACCCTGAAACAAGCCTTCCCAGGAGAATTTTTGTCTCAGTGAGCCAGTTGGGGTGCAGTCCAGGAAGGGCTCCAGACAGAGAGGCCCATGGTGGCCCCTCTGGGCTCTGGAGACCAGCTCTTTGTTCTCTTCATAGAGCGCGTGCAGACGCTTCCTGCTGGCCCTTTTCCTCCTTTGATGTTTCAGTCCTTTGAAGGGATTCAGTTCTCATTCCAGAAGTTGAAGGAACTTGGCTTCCCACAGCCCCTTGACAGGGAAGGTGAGGACAGCAGTCACCCTGCAGGGCTCAGACTGCCTGCTGCCAGCCCCAGCTCTGTGCGGGTCTTGATAAATGATGGAGTCCAGCCCATTTCTAGATGCTCATCGGGTTCCTGGGGAAAGGCTGAGACAAAGAATGTAAATTAGCAGAGGGGTGTGTGTGTGTGTGTGTGTGTGTGTGTGTGTGTGTGTGTGCGCGCATGCACACATGCACATGTTTTCTCAGGAATGCATCAGAGGAGATAGCATGGGGCACAGCTTTGCGGGGAGGTAAGGCAGGTTGAGGAAAACTTAGAGTTATCTAAGTCATTGCGTTAGTTTCCCAGAGCTGCCATAACAAATCAATACCAGCTTGGTAGCTTAAAACAACAGAAATTTATTCTCCAACAGTTCTGGAGGCTGGAAGTCCAAAAATAAAGGTGTCAGCAGGGCTGTACTTCTTCCAAAGGTCCTAGGGGAGACCCCTTCCTTGCCTTTCCAGTGTCTGGTGACCCCAGGAATTCCTCAGCTCATGGTTACCTACTTCCCTTTAATGCCTCTGTCTTTGGGTGGCTGTCTCCCCTTCTCCTGTGTTTTCTTTTCTGTCTCTTACAAGATACTTGTCATTGGATTTCTGGCACACCCAGATAACCCAGGATAATCCTGCACTCAATGATATTTGCAAAGCCTCCTTTCTAAATCATGTCACATTCACTGATTCTGAGGGTTAGGAAATGGATTTATCTTTCAGAGCCACCATTCAATCCACTAAAGGCATCAGAAATGATTCTGGTACAGGTGATGTGGCCAAAGGTAGGAATGAAATTCAGATTTCAGAAGAATGAAGGGGATAGGAGGGTCTGGGCTGTTGGATGTGTGTCTGTGGCACAGAGCTGCTCTGGGGCATCCAGTCTTTGTGATGACAAGGATGCCACCACGTGGAGGTGAAGAAAGAGTGATGAGCATCCTGTGCCTGTGTAGTCCTTGCCATATAGAAAGAGCAGGGAGAAGGCCACTCCCCAGTTGTCATGAGGGTGATAACCTGAGAGGGGAGTCCTGGGCAGAGGGGGCTGACATATCTCTGATCTCTGGGGTCTTCAGGGGCCTTTGTCCTATGTCCCTGTGGAAGAATGGACTTGCCCCCTGCCCCCATCAAGCCCCTCTTACCAATTAGATCAATCTAATAGTTGGGTGGCAGCAATCAGTGACAATAGTCATGGATTCTTGCAGTTGAGCCATGTCTCCAGGTGGCCAAGCAGTGGTTAAATGGAATTGTCACAGTGCGGGGAGCTGGAGATGTGGCTTCTGTTCTGGGTGTGTTTCCTGGCACTGGCCTCTTATCTGGGTGCTACCTCTCTATGCAGGGGGATTTATGAAATCCAGCTGGAAGGATAAGGAAATAGGGCCTGGTTATTGCTGGGGTGGAAAGTAAGCCCCTGCTGGGGTGGAAAGACAGCCACCTGCTGTCTTCTAAACCCTGCAAGTTAGCTATGAAGAGGGTCAGAGGCCTAGCCAGGAGAGAGAGGACAAGGGCATGTCAGCCAGAGGCAGCATAACGTCAAGAGGTTTAGAGGTATTGAGGCCTGATAGTGTATGATCCAAATGAGAACACATTTGAGAGTGAAAGGAGGATGTTATTAATAATTATACCAAGACAATGGACATCAGCCAAGACTATCCCAGGCAAACTGAGAGCTTTAAGAGAGAAAGACCCATTGAAGATTGTATCAGGAGCTGGCCTTTGCTAACTACCCTGGGAGAGTCAATCAATTAAGGGTCTTCATGTGAGTTGGGAATAGGATAGGACATCTGGACACTGCTAAGCTCTGAACATTATTCTCATAGACTCTGTCCGTTCACAGAGGTCAGTGGGTCTCAGTTCCAGTGGGTCTCAATTCTAACTGCTCATTAGAATTCCCTGGGGAGCTTTTACACCATCATGATGCCTGGGCTCCACCCCTCACCACCTGATTCAGAATCTCTGGTGGTGGCACCCAGAGATGAGTATTGTTTTTTCAAAAACTCCTCAAGTTATTCTAGTGAGCATAAGGATCAAGAACTGCTGGCACAGATGGTCTCTAAAGTTCCTTCTACTTCTAAATATATACAAACATACAAGTCTTCTGATTTGAATGAAAAAAAAAAAAAAACAACAGTTGATTTGGTTAAAGCTGAACTGATCTACTCATTGAAAAATGCCACTAAGAGAGTGAAAAGAAAAGCCATAGATGGTAGGAAGATATTTACAACACTTATATCTGACAAAGGACTTGCTTCCAGAATATATAAAGAATACCTACAAACCAATAAAAAAAAGACTGTCTAATTAAAATGGGCAAAAGGCTTGAACAGGCACTTCATAAAAGAGGGTATCATAAAGCCTGCTAAACACATGGTCATCAGAGAAAAGCAAGTTAAAACTATGAGATACCCACTAGAATGATCACAATGAAAAAGACAGACAACAGCAAGTATTAGCAAGAATGGGAAGCAACCAGAATGCTCATGCAGGTCTGGAGGAAGTGTAACTGGTATGACCACTTTGGAAAGCTGTTTGATAGTATCTATTAAATGAATATGTAAATACTCTATGACCCCGCTCTTCCACTCCGCAGTGCTCACCTGAGAGAAATGAATGTGTTTGACTGCCAAAGACACGTTTAAGAATGTTCCTGGTAACTTCATTCCTAAGAGTCACAGAGTGGAAACTATCCAAATGTCAGTCGAAAATAGAATGGGTATCTGAACTGGGCAATATTCACACAGTGGAATATTTCAGAATAATAAAAGAATGAACCACTATTGCACACAATAACGTGAATGGCTTTCCAGACATTGTATATTGAATGAAAGAAGCCAGAGTCAAAAGACTACCTTCTTGATGACTCCATTTATATAAGTTCCAAAAACAGGCAAAACAAATCTATGGTAAGTCAGGAAAGGGGCTATTTCTGGTGGAGGAGAGCTGTTCACAGAGAGCTAGAAGGAATCTTCTGGGTGCTTGGAAATATTCTGTTGTTTGATCTGGTGCTAGTAGGAGGGTGAACCCATACATGAAAATTCAATAGGCTGTACACATAAGATTTGCATACCTTACCGTATCATAGGCTATACCGTGATGAAAAATAAAAGTTGAACTGAATAGTAGATTTGCTAGTTAAATGTCCAAATCAGTATATTACATTGGGTTGTAAAACTCTGGATCTAAATTTTTATAATAAACTTTTTTGGGGAGGATCATTTTAGATTTACAGAAAAGTTACAAAGATAGTATGGAGTGTTCCCATATACCCTACGCCCAGCTTTCCCTAATGTTAACATCTTATGTAACTCTGGTACATTTGTCAAACCCGGGAGATTAATACTGGCACACTACTGTTAACTAGACTCTGGACTCTATACAGATTTCACCAGTGTTTCTACTAATGTCCTTTTCCTGTTCTAGGATCCAATCCAGGATATATTTAGTACATTTAGTGAAACTGAATTTTTACTATAATTTGTGTCCATGGAGACACACACATACTCACACACAGACAGTTCCAGGAGCCCCTCCGCTCACCTCGTGAGGCCTGGGAGGGGAGAGGACATGGGGCATGTCCCAGGTGGTCACCTTGGAAGGACCAGAGCCTGGCCCTGCAGAGAGGGCAAGCAGGGTGGTCTGCTAAACCCAGGGGTGCTGATAGAGAAGATCTGCCCCTCTCAGGAGAGACCCTCTCCCTGCACAGTGAGATCAACACAGTGGCCACATAGAGTAACTGGAACTTGTCCATTCTTAGAAGTAAGCCCGCACGTCACGAGATAGAATATGTTAGCCTGTAGAGATGGACGTGAACTTGAAGTCTGTTAGGTCCAGCCTCCTCAGTTGAAAGGGGGTAAAAGCAGGTCCCATGAGGTCCAAGACTTCCTCAAGGCCACAAGGTCAGTGGCAGGGCCAGGAGAGCAACTTGGTTTCTGAGCCTTCACCAGTGCCCCCGCATCTGTTCTCAGTTGTGTCTTCTGTCCCTGTCTGACCATCCGAGAAGTACAAAGGGGTCTGTACGATGAAGTTCTGGGACATGGAGTTCTGCTTGGCCAGTCTCTAGAGTCTGTGCCCTTAGTCCTTGGTGCCAGGTCTCCCTGCCTGGCATGGCCTCCCCAATGAGGGTGGGGAGAAGGCAGCTCTGGTCTGCGGACTTGCCAGCTGGCACCTTCTAAGAAGGCAGAGACTCATGCAGAGCCAAGAGGAGTCAGGAGAGCTCAGCTGTCCACACCCCTGCTCTGTGCTGTGAGATTTCTGCACTGGGACCACACTGCCACCCGCACAAATCCCCATCCTGTGAAGAAGAAAGGAAGAAATTTAGTACTTAAATGTGATGCTTTAATCACACTGCCCAAAAGGTGAGAAAGCTGACTGTACTTTTGGCAAGGTGTCTCTTTTTCAAGTTCCATTTTTGTACTGTTTTTAGGGGAGGGTTTCAGCGGAATAGATGCCAAACATTTGGAAATATAAAGAGGCAAGGAAAAAAACCACCCGTAATCTCACTAACCAGAGGCACATTTTCTTCTGGTCTTTTATCTGTGAAATTTGCTGAGATCATGCTGCAGAATCAAGGCGAGATGGGGCTTCTTCTCCCCACTTGACATTATAGCTCAAGTATTGCCTCCATGTTCTATTCTTGCAAAAGATAATATGTCAAAGAAACATACCGTGAGTTATGTAATCATTCCTGAGTGTTAGAAACTGAAGTTACTTTTGCTTTTTATCTGTTACACAAACACTGAGATGAACATCTTTGTGAGTAAATCTTGGTCCTCCTCTGTGA